GGACTTCAACTCCCAGAATTCCCCAGCCAGCATTTGCTGGCTGGGGAATTCTGGGAGTTGAAGTCCGGACATCTTCAAGTTGCCAAGGTTGAGAAACACTGGTCCATGCTGTAGGACACATTCTTGCATTGGGTTTTTCCCAAGCGCCGTCCAGGGCGTTGCCTGCCCCGCCGTGGCGCTAGTGGGTCTGAAGGGTGTCAGGTGGCCTGACCCGAACCCCCCCTCCAACTCCAGGGTCCCAGGTGAGGATTTGGGGAGGGGGCCACTGCGGCCGGGTTCCCTTTGCCCCCCCCCACCCCCCAGGGAGCAGCTAGAGTAATTGAGCTCCACTTTGGAGGAACTGGTGAAAAGCAAATAAAGGCGGGACTCAGAGGTTAAGCACCAGCTTTAAATGCATATGAAAATACTTCAGAATAATGGGATTTTCCTCTTTTAATTTTGGTTAATGGAGGAGTGGCGTTTTTGGAATGGAGCCTATTAAAAATAAAGCTGTCACTTGCAGGCCCGGGGAAACAATTATGGGTTATTTAGTGGACAGGAGAGCTGATGTTCATCTACACCCCCCACCCCCCCCACCCCCGCGTGTGGCTCAACGTGCAGGAGTATCTTCCGAGAAGGCGAAAGCAACCCTCTTCCCCAGCCCTCTCTGATCACGTGACTCCGGGAATGTTGCAACGGTCGTAAGTGTGAGGAACGGTCATGATTCCCTTTTTTCAATGCCGCTGTAACTTTGAATGGTCCCTCAGCGAATGGTTGAAAATCAAGGACTCCCTGTATTTGGGAAGCAATGCTGCTATAAGAGAAAAGGTTTCAAGGTGCTTAAAGTGACATTTCTGTGGTTTGCTGTGCACAAGGAGGGTTTATGGCCACACTCAGTCACAGTCCCAAAAAAGACCAGGCCAGGACAAAAATTAAGTGTGTATTAATTGGCCACGAATTAAAATTAATTGTCTTGAAGACAAAAGCGGTGAATCGATGTATAATGTTAATTGCCTCTTAATTGCACAGGCCAACTATTTGTATTGGAGACTCTCTGAGCTGTAGGAACCCACTGTAGGAACACCAAGCCTATGTTCCTCAGCACCTTTGGGCCAGGGCAGAGCAGGAGGAGGAAGAGGGGAAGGAAGGAGGAGGAGAAGAATAGGGAGGAGGAGAGGGAGGGAGAGGAGGAGGAGAGGGACGGAGAGGAGGAGGAGGCGAAGAAGAGGGGGAGAAGGAGAAGATGGAGGGGGAGGAAAGGAGTAGGAAAAGAAGAAGAGGGGAAGGAAGGAGGAGAAGAAGAGGAAAAGAGGAGGAGGAGAGGGATGAAGAGAAGCAGGAGAAGAAGAGGGGAAGGAGAATGAGAAGAGAGGAGAAGAAAGAGGAGGAAAAGAAGGGAGGGGAGAGGAAGGAAAAGAGTAAAATAGGGAGGAGGAAGAGGGGAAGGAAGGAGAAGAAGGAGGAGAAGGGGAAGGAGAAGAAGGAGGAAAAGAGAGGAGGTGGAGGAGAGGGGCAAAGAGAAGCAGTAGAAGGAGAAGAAGGAGTAGGAGAAGTGGGACAAAGAGAAGGAGGAAAAAGAGAGGAAGAGGGAAGGAGAAGGGGAAGACGGAGGAGAAGAAAGAGGAGGAAAAGAGGAAGGGAGGAGAGGGGAGAGGAAGGAAAAGAGGGAAGCGGAAGAGAGGGAGGAAGAGATAGAGGAGGAAGAGAAAAGATGGAGAGGAAGAGAAGAGGAAGGAGGAGGAGAAAGGAGAGGAGGGAAGGAAGGGANGCCTCCTGCACTATGGCAGGGTGTGTGTGTCATTTTTGCTCTCCCTGGGCTCTGGAGGCTTCCTCAAGCCTCAGAGAGGGCAAAAATGGCTTCCCCAGGCTCTGGAGGCCCTCTGGGGACCGGATACAGGCCCATTTTTGGCCTTCCCGAACTTCCGATAGGCCCATTTTTTGCCCTCCCCAAGCCTCTGTGTACACCCTGCACTTACCTGCATCCAAAACGGGCCGTGTGGGGACTCCTGGGAGGGCAGAGCTGGGTGGGTGGGGCCAGCCAGTAGTGGGATTTGGGAGTTCTCCAAACTGCACATAATCTTAGCTAGAGGTTCTCCCGAACCCCTGCAAATCCCCAGCAGCCCACCCCTGCTCAGGAGGTAATTCCATGGAGGTTGGGGACTGTCGATGACTCGTCAGGCCTAGGTTGCTCCCTCCTGCCAGACTCTGGTGACCGTTGTCTAGGAGAGGCCTACAGTTTTGCCCTGCCTGACTCTCTCACGACAACATATTCCCACTAACGGTTAACTTTCCCTCCACTTCCAGGAGCTTCCTAACACTTGCCCTATTATAGCCTGGGCTCCGTGGATTTTTGCAAAGCCGGTTTAGCTACGCAGAGCTAGAAAATTAAACCGACCAACCCCCCCCCCCCAAAACAAAACAACAACAAAAAAACCAAATAAAAAAAGAGAAACGTTGCGTTTTGTTCACAGTGACGATCCCTGCGGTTCAGCCAGCAAGAAAACCGGGTGTGACGTGGAGGAACCGAAGGAGTCCGGCAGAGGCAGTGGCCAGGAAGGCAGGTCCGACACCTTGAAGTTAAAAGCCCAGCATGAGGAGCGGCAGGAAGCGCAGGGAGCGGGGTCCTCCCTTTTGGTGCAGAAGGCCAGCCTCCACCACACAGGTTCCCCCGTGAGAGGGCAGCGCAGCAAAGGGGCAGCTACCTGTTCCCATGCGGCTGCATCCAATTATGAGCTCTCCCTTGACTTAAAGAATAAACAGGTACGCCTGCTTCTCCTCATGCCTTGGGAGAGAGGGCTGGGGTGGGGTGGGGCCATTTCTCCATCCATCGTTTAGCTTAGTTCCTTTTTATGTTTCACACCCAGATTGCTGACCATCACCAGGGATGGGGGTGGGACTGGGCGAATATATTACGGGACGAACCATAGGGAATAGTTTGCATGAAGAGGTCACCTTCATCTTAAACCATCGGGCAGGAAGTGATGGGAAATATCTGTATGTTGGGGTGGAGGGGCAGAGGTCTGGAAAGAACTGTTGCCTATCAGAATAGGCAACATTGGCCAAGATAGAAAAATAGTCTGAATGGTGCATAAGGCAGACTTCCTGATGTGCAACTTAGCCAGGGGCGAGAAAATGGTGATAGGAAAGCCGAACCATCATAGAATAAATGTATATTTCTGTTATTTCGAGGGATCAGAGAGAAACGTCATTATTTCTTTTTTTTTTAGATACAAGCTTATTGAATTCACACTCCCTGAATTTACACTTACCGTGCCAACGCGCGAGTGAAATCGCAAATATATCTCAAGAATCATACGTGCACAGTCATGCATGCACAATTTTCAATCTGTTTAGAAAAGGGACATATTAGGGAGAAGTGCACACAATATAGGAGGTATTTGTGAAAATAATGTAAAGAATACATTAGATCGACTGCAAATATATGAGTGTTAAGGAAACACTTATGTACAAGAAATATGGGTAGAAGAGAAAACACACACAAAAAATATTCACTGACGTTTATGCAATTATAAAGTGTAGCAAAACAAATGAATGAAACAAATTTAAGATTGGAAAAATGAGAAACCGAGTGAAACCAATAATTGACAATCCATGTTTTCTTAATTATTTTTGGTGCGCTGTATGCAATTAACACAAACCTTTCCATGTGCTCCAAGCCATATTATGCAAATGAAAACATTTTTTTTCTAAATAAGGTAGGGTGCATGTATAGAATGTATCTAACATATGGACCCATAGAGAAAGTTAGTTTTGATAGACAATTTAGCATATACTATACATTAAATGTTCAAATGGTTTGCCATTTTCTCCTAAGCACTTCCTTATTTTTTAAACACATGACTGTTGAACATCCCTTAATTAATATAACAACATTTTCTCTGAAAAAGGAGAATAAAACATGTTGTGGTAAGCCTGACTTTTGGTATACACTGCATTTTGCCTCTTTGTCATTACTGTACCTGACACATAAAATTAGATGGCTGGCTGCAACAAAAATGCAACTTCTACGTGACTTGTCCTTTGCATGCAACTCCTATATTCCCCTCTGCCTATGTCTTTAACTAAGCATATTATATTTGGACTGCATGCATGCATACCAGAGGTGGTATTCAGCTGGTTCTCTCCAGTTCGGGCAAACCAGTAGCAGCGGCTGCGGGAGGCTCTGGCCACCCACCCCGCCGTAATGCGCGAGCACTGTGCATGCGCAGAAGGCGGTGCGCATACACAGATGAGGTGCTTGTGCTCACATTTGCAAACCAGTAGGGAAGGTGAATTATGCATTTTCTCCCCCCCCCTCTCTCTCCCTCTCTCTCGCACACACACACACACACACACACTGATCAGTTGGTGGAAGCAAAGAGATGCAGAAGATTCTCTTTACTGCCATTTAGTGGTTCTCCGAGGTTTTGCAGCCCAGGTGTAGCACCTTGCTTTAACCACACCAAGGCTGAAATATTTCTTCCTGCAAGCAGGTCAGGGAATTCAGGCCCTTCTGCCTTTCTGAAAGAGTAGCTTCCTTGGTTTTGAAATTAGAAATTCCTAAATATATTAGTTTTTTTAAAAATTAATGCCTGATTTCTAATGGATGCAGAGATGGAGGGAATGGTGAAGAACTCTTAGAGCAAGGGCCTAAAACATTGTTTCTCAACTTCTAGTTCTAAGATGTGTGGACCTCAACTCCCAGAATTACCCCAGCAGGGAATTCTGGGAGTTTAAGTTCACACATCTTCAATTTGCCAAGGCTGAGAAACACTGGCAATTCAGCATTTGGCCTTTGATATGATGCCCTATTAAATCATAAGTATGGCTAGGAAAAATAAAAATAAACAGTAATAGCAATAGCACTTAAACTTATATACAGCTTCACAGTGCTTTCCAGCCCTCTCTAAGCGGTTTACAAAGTCAGCCAATTGCCTCCAACAATCCGGGCCCTCATTTTACCCACCTTGGAAGGATGGAAGGCTGAGTCATTAAAAGCAGTTATGATTGATTCATCATAGGTGATGCTAATTCCTCCCTATGCAGTTAATAAATCCTTCCTTCTTTAATCTTTACATTTGGTAAGAACTTTTACAAAGACCTTCAAGATGATTTTGGGATCCTCTGGAATGGGAAGCATTGCAGATTCTCCATCTTAAAAACATGGGAGCTGCCTTATCTTTCAGTTTTGGTAGCTCTTGCTTTAATGAACCTGAAACAAAATTATGGTAAAATTAGTTCTTGTACGAAATATCTTAGGCTATTTGCGTTCAGCTCCTGCAGCTTTTTTTTTTTTTGCTGGCATGTCACTCTTCTTTTTGTAACGTTCACCGTCTGCCACAAAATATTTGGCTCCAGATCTTGTTTCTTGTTTCACCATGTGTTTCTATGTGTGTTTTTATTCTTCACCCAGCTAAATATTTTCACTCCGATGAGATAGGGAGATTTTTAGTATGCCGTTGAAGTTATAATATTTACCAATGTGCATTTCTCAGAAATGCATCAAAGGTATGAATCTACAGATGCACTGGGGGGAAAAATGCCCCAAATGTATGTTGGCTTTTCACCATACTTCTATTATATCAACCATCTTTGAACCAGCGGTGGGATTTAAAAATGTTAGCAACTGGTTCTCTGCCTGCTTGCTGGGTGGGCGTGGCCAAGGTGGGCATGGCCTACTCAGCCTCCTGCACCACATGGGGGGGGGGGATTTTCACCCTCCCCAGGCTCTAGAGCAGGGGTAGGTTCCTGCCAGTTCTAACCTCTTCTATA